CTTTGATTACTATTCTGTCTTAATAGTTGTCTCAGTTGCATCATCTACCATAACCTTGGCACCTATCAATTATTATTTAATATGGCTATAAAACCAGGACACAATTGCATGTTGTTAAGGTTTAAATTGAGTGAATCAGCATGTTCATCCCTGCTTCCACGTGTTTGAAAAAAAAAACCCTTCCTGTTTTCTTAACTCATTTAATATACGGTAATTGTTGTTTGACTTTTATAACCTGCTCATGTTTGATATGGGTTTAATGATAGTTCAAGGACAGCCTTATTAAGATCTCTGAATTATGTACACCACATATTCAGATCCAGAAAATCCGTCTGTAAGACAATGCCTTGTTATGTGTTTTTTAAAAATCTTTTAATTGACACTAATAATTTCTGAAATATCCATTCTTCAAAAATGTTTATCAGGATAAGTCTATGTGCACATATTTTGCAAGCTCATGTGTTTGTTTTAAATGGTAAAAATGTTTTACTTATATAGTAAACACGTTTTTAACACAATTTTAGTTTTTATATTTTCTTATAAGTTTCAAATCTGTTTTTATCTGTTTTTACAGATACGTCTTTGCTGTGAATAAGTCTGGGTCAAAAGTTCAGAGACAGTTTTTTAATCCCTGTCTGCTCCGTCATGCAGCATTAGTCGCTGGCCTACTCTCAGCTAACCTGCCTGAGCTTTGGCACTGTGCTACAAGCCCAGCTATTGCCTGGCACTTTACGTTTTATCTTTTGGGCGGCTATGGATCAGTGGTCGAATCATCGTCAAAGGTAGTGTGAATGTGAAATGCGGTGTAAAGAGCACTTTGAATAGTCAGAAGAATAGAGAAGTGCTATACAAGCTCAAGTCCATCTACCATTTCTTTGACCAACAGAACTCACAAACTGCAGACCTCTCATTCTCTTGGCTCTCAATTCTGAATGGACTGAAAAGAAACAAGCCAGCCTGTGCTTCCATTTCCTCTCTCCATATCATCTCTTCTTTGTGCGTGCGTGTCTTGACAGTCAGAGCCCAGCCCTCATTATCAGCGTGTGCATGTGCATCGAGCTGCTGACGCGGTGTGTGTCGCTGCACACTGACGTCAGCACTGCACTGCTTCTCTGCCTGCAAATGCCCCCCTCTGCCTGCCATTGATACCTTTTCCTCTGTCCCCCACTTTCTTATTAGCGTGTTTTTATCAATTTTAGCACCTCTCACACCACAGACCCCAGCTAATATGACACACAGGTGTAACAAACCGGTCGTCTAATAGCTCTCACAGGTTCATCGGCTTCTGTAAGGGAATATTTAAAACTTGTCTCATGTTGAATAACAAGGGGTAGAAAGTAACAAATTACATTTACTTCAGTTACTGTAACTGAGCAGCTTTTTGGTGAACCTGCACTTTTATTAGTTGTTTTTGAAATGAGTCACTTTACTTTAACTTAAGTATATTTTGGGAGAAGTACTGTACTTTGCTACATTTTAAATAGCATCTATAACTGAGTTAAAAAATTTATTTTTTTAAATAAATCCAAGCTTTCCTTCAGCTTTATGAAGCTGGCCAGCTGATTGGCTCACGCTTAGTTACCACATAAAGGTCAGGTGCACAAAGCGAGGGTAATGATTCAACATAACAGCCAAAATGTTCTGTTGCATTGCACCTTATTAAAGTATGAAGGTATTCCTTTAATTGAACAACCTGGATGGAGATTCATTCTCTTGTCATTTTTACGCTGCACATGAAGGAAAGATCATATTTTACTTTTCGACCCCCCCCCCCCGTGTAAATAACTGTATGTATGTGAAGTTTTATTTGAAAGGCTGCTCTATTCCTGTCTCTTATTGTTTATCCATTGGCTAAATAAATGGCTTTACTTTGTATTCTTACATGCAATAGGTAAATACTGGAAAAAATTCCTTTTAGACAAACATAAATAATAGTTATACACTCGCACATGTTGGTATGCACACAGTTTTCTCCGGGTTTGAAAATCGCCCCTGAAAAAGAAACGTAGACATTTTGAGCAGGATTACCAAACAGGCAGACAGTGTGACCTTGTGGCAGGTATGTCCCATTATTCTGTGTAAATAGTTGTGGTAATGAATGAGTAATTAAGAGCAGCAAATATGTCCATACCAAATTAAACTGTGAACGTTCCACTTTTTAATAAGTAGTGTGGGTTAGTAGCATATGAAACATCATTAATATTGCAGTGTCCCTTACTTGAAGATAATTTAGTGAAAAGTAGTCCTGTGTGAGCAGAAATTGTATGATTTTAAATATACGCTACTACAATTAAAATCCATGAATTGATCATGTCCCTTATTTAAAAGTATGAAGAATGAATATTTGGACTCTCTGCAGCATTTTAATGACACTTTAAACTTCTTAAAATACTCTGTCCTTAATTGTATAACATTGCATCAAATTCCCCTTAACATTCTCATGCTGTACGTATAATCTGAATCTGCACAGAGTAGTGTTTAATTTGAGGTAATGAGCACAGGCAGTAGAGTGAATTACGATACATCCCAATTCAGTGTAGTTGAGTTCAAGTTTTATAAAAGATTACAGTACATCCTGACTGTACTTCAACGTGCTAGCCAGTCTGTTTTATTGTTGCACCGCGGTGAAAACAGTGTGACTGTGCTTTGAATGTGTGCATGTGTGTTTATGTGTCTGCGTGTGTGCAGGTGTCTGAAGTGTCAGCAGCTGTGTCGAGTGTCTCTCTGTCTGTGTGTCTGCCCTCATCTTGTATTTTCATAACATCACCACAGAACATATCTCCTGTCCATAGAAAGATTTAAATCTCTTCCCTCCCCGTAAATAAGTTGCTGCGTGGTGCACACATTATTGCTGCTGGTGGGAGGGCCCATATAGCTCGCTTTTCCTGTTTCTGTGCGTGTGAAAGACAGAAGACATCCATGCTTTGTGCATAGATTAAAGAGAAATGTCGACTGTAATTGCATGACGTAGATAGGGTGACACGCTTCACTTAAGACTTTTCAATGTCACCAGATGTGTCGGGTCAGCAGAAAAATTGAACTTCAATCAAATAAATTCTTATTTTAGTGAAATTAAACAAATACCAGGCTCACATCATATGTTGTGCCTCCTTCTTTCTTTTTTTCTTCTTCAGTAGTTCATCGTCCTTTCATCTCCCCCTCCTTCATAGCATCCACTGCTTCAGCTTTTCCCCGTCCGTGTGTGTGTGTGTGTGTGTGTGTGTGTGTGTGTGTGTGTGTGTGTGTGTGTGTGTGTGTGTGTGTGTGTGTGTGTGTGTGTGTGTGTGTGTGTGTGTGTGTGTGTGTGTGTGTGTGTGTGTGTGTGTGTGTGTGTGTGTGTGTGTGTGTGTGTGTGCGCGCGCCTGCTTTGGCGTGTATCCATGCTTGCGTGCGTGCGTGCGTGCCTGCGTGTGTGTGTCGTAAACAAGCAGAAGGCCAACAACTCTGTCCTCCGGCCGTCCTCCTCCTCCCGCCATCCTGTTGCCATGGTGTGTTGAGCATTGTTTGCTGGCCTCTATGTCGGGTTGCCATGGCAGGGCTTATTTGCCATATTAAATGTTTGGCAGCATTGTACAGATGCTGATGACAAACACCCAACATCCCACTTTGATCAATGAATCAGTTACTGATTAGAGAAGATAGGATTGAGACACTGATCTCGTTAACAAAGTCAATTAGAGCTTTCATGTACTGTACATATCGCATGCTTAAAAGTAAGACATCTATGTAACAATATAAACAAACAAGAAGATTTATTTTGTTATTAAAAGCTGGGACTGTTGTTACCCTATTGAAATTCTTTTTGCCTTGCAGTTTTTTACAAATGTTTAATTTTGTATAAAAACAATCCAGACTAGAAGAAAAAGAGGCATTTATATTTAAAATGTAAACATCTCCACAATGTGTAACTGTTTCAATAGATCAATGACATTGTAGTGTCTTATAGCTTTATATACTTTATATTGCTGAATGTGTTCACATTTTTTATGTAGTTCAACATCTTTTCACACCACAAGCAATTTTTTTTGGCAATATTTAGACCAGATAAGAAGTAAAAAAAAAATAATAATTCTATTATCCAGGGTGTTTGTTTACATTTATGTTGAGTCTGATAATGTTTGTGGAGCTGCTTCTCAAACTGAGGTTCAATCCTGTGTCTCTCCCCCTTGTGGTCTAAGGAAGTAATGCATTGTGGCTTATTAAAATACATTACCAACCAAGATTTAACATGACCAGCAGCTGCATTTCTCCACATGAAAAAAGTTAAAATAGACCGAAAACAATTTCCCTTCTGGCTGCTTATGTTATCAAAAATATGTTTCAAGTGTTAAGCTGTAAAAAGAAGTTAAATGTGAATGTCTCAAGAAGATGCATGTCATAAAGAGTCACTAAATGAGTATAATAAGACTGTCCCATAAACCTCAATTAATTTCTATTTGTTTGAACCAGAGGGTTAGGTCATTTCAGGTTCAGCCAGTTAGTGTTACACAACACCTCAACAACTTTGACTGTGCACTGCTGTAACGTGTGACAGCTCCTGTTTGGTTACCAACAGATAGCGTGGAAATGCTGTCGATTGACGTAGTTGAGGCCTGATAAGATCTCATAGCTCCATTGTAGACGCAGCGCGGTGGTTTTAGTGGTTTGCTTTTCTTCATGTGCTCTCAGTGAAAGGCCTCTATCTGCCGTCTCTCTGGCTGTGTGCATTTGCATACCTGTAGTAGACATCATGTGGTTCAGGAAAGACTTAATGTAAACTATTACTACACTGTGTGTGTTTTGATAACAAGCAGAATAGACTTGCAGTGGCTCTGTCCCCTTGTTGCTGACCTGCCTGTGCCCTGCTGAAAAGTTATTAGGCAGTGTGCTGAAAGTGGAGCATAGGTTAAAGAGTGCCCCCTCCTGTGTAAATACATTAAATATTCACTGTTTTGCACAATGACATACACAGTGTTGATGTTGCTCTGACAGTTTGTGTGTCTCTCTTGTGTTTTTTTCAGATGATCCTGTGGGACTGGGATCTGAAACACTGGTACAAACCCCAGTATCAGGTCAGTACTGTGTTTGTTTCTGCTCATATATTTAAAGGTACACATTCAGGTAACACACAGATAATAGATAGTGGTCTCTATTGTCCACCCCAAGAGGCTGAGTATAAGCCTCTTGGGGTACATTCAGTTCTTTCCCTTGGTATTTTTTGTTAGGCAAAATACACATTGTGTAAAACCTGGCATACCATGACCTTGGCATTGTCGTCATGCCACATTTTATCTCAGTCAGACATTCTTTGTCTTGTTTGAACTATTTCTGTAATCTGTCGAAGAATTTAGCTCCCACACACCAAAAATCAGTATTTGTGCCCGTCAAGCACAGGCAGCCGAAACGTCTTTCTTCATGATTCTTGCCCTTAAATAATAATGATGTTCAGAAACAATATTAACAACCCTTATTTATAGACCACACAAACAGCTGTACGAGATTTTAAAGTCATAGAATGAAGACATTATATGAAATTAAAAACATAGACTTAACAAAGCTTTAGAAAGCATTCAAATGTAAGTGCATCCCCAAAAAAAGCCTTACAAAGAAGCCAACAGACGCATGGGAAAGAAATATAGAAAATTGAAAACAATAGTTAAAATGAAACAAGCTCATTAAAATCTGAGATTATAAATAACGTGGCTCAAAATCGTATTCGATTTCACTTTGTTAAAATAATAATTCATAAAAGATTTCACTTTGTTTGTTACCATGTGCTTGTTGTTGTTTCTGTTTCTGTTTCTGTTGTGTAAGCAGGGGTGTCTTATGGGGGAGAAAAGTTAGGAGGACTCTAAGACCCATGAATGTGGTCACTGAAAAAATATAGGGGTTTTATTAAACATGAGATCATTTTTTTCATTATTTTATTTTATTTTCTTGGGGCCCAACATCCCTGGGACAGCTCCCCTGTGTGAAAGACTCCAGAGGAAGAGAAGGGGGTTTAGGAGACGACAGGAGAGGAGAGAGTTTGGACAGGATTCAGTTTTTTTCAATTAACCTGGTTAATTAAGAGACATCCTGGTTTGCAAAAGAGATTAAAAAAAAAAGAAGCAAAAACTCGAGCATAGAAGGATGTTTAGTGATAGCACGGTGTGGTTTATTCTGATGTTCATACCACAACACCTCGGCTTCAAACTGCCTTTTGAATTCAGTTTGAGTTTGAATCACACTGTCTCTTGTTTAAACTCCACTCACAGTCACATTTGTATTCATCAGGGTGCTGTGACGGGCAACGGTGTAGATCTTTCAGTCATCAACGAGGCCAGAAACCTGGTGTCGGACCTGCTGATGGACTCGTCTCTGTCGCCACACACCATCTCCTCTCTGCGCAGCGTCTCCAGCCTCATGGGCACGTTTTCAGGCTCCTGCCGCCCCAGGGTCAACCCCTTCACCCCCTTCCCAGGTTTCTACCCCTGTGATGAGGTGGAGGACTCTCTAGAGCGGGGAGAGAGGAAAACCATTAAGGTTAGTGTAAATACTATTCCAGCATCAATTTTGTAATGAAACATAAAGAGATGCATGATTAGCTAAAAAGAGCCAGTACCGAAAAAGGACCAGAGTAGGAACACTCAGACTCTTCAAGTGACCTCAGCAGACTCTGGCTTACATTTCCTTCTCAGAAGTAACTATACTAAGCGTTTCTGTCCGCCCACAATGTAAGGCATCATGCAATAATTAGTAAATCAACCAAAAGAAATGTCCCTGTCTATCAGAGTTCCCAGCATTGAGAACCACAGCTGGTTTGTTCAGGGATGGGTAATGCTTGAGAAAAGTCCAGTGGCATATGACTGATTTGGGCTAATCAGACACTTAAGTAAAACCGCGTCTTAGAAATCTGCAGAAAGTTATCACAGCGACAATCATTTTATCTATCACGATAATCAGAGTGTAATAAACAGAACTCAGCATTTCAAATATTTGATTGGCCAGAAGTTGTGCTGCCAGGTGACGTTACATTGTGCTGTGGTTAAAATTTGAGCCCGGTAAAACCCTTTGACCACAAAACACTGTTTCCTTTTGCATCATTGCAATGTATGTAGGCTGTGCATTTTTGATGCTCTGCTATTTTAATTTTAGACATGGAAGTAGATAATGAAGCTTGTAACTTCTAGAAGTGATGAATTGTTGGGGAACAGGACCTTCAATTTTTGGGGGGAGGGGGGTAAAACAAGGATATTGAATGAATGTATATTTCAGATTTTCTTTCCCATCAGGGTTTGAGCAGCAGAAACAGCCTCCCCACCCCTCAACCCCGACGGAGTTCCACCTCCTCCTCCTCCTGCTCTGGACTCCCTCCTCTGGACTCTGCCTCTTCACGATGGGAACGCAACAACAGCAAGAGACCCCACCCTGACCTCAACTTATCCAGGTACCAACACAAGCACCACTGGACACCAAGAAATATTTCAGATACAATCACAGATGTTTCTGGCTGACACCTTTTCAACATTTTTTAGTCATCTCGCCTGGCAATTCTATTAAGATCTAAATGATGTGACATAGCACGGTGCACAGTGAAATAAAGGCGATTCTAATTTAGTCAGCCTTGGTGAGTTCTACATAAGCAATGAGTCACCTTCCTTATAAAAAATTGTTTAATAAATAGTACCATCGCAGGAGTAACTGGAACAGCTGTATACTTTAGGTCTACAGGTTTATTCAGAGAATCAGGTAAGAAAGGTTGCTTCTGTTTTTCCCTCCTTTTCTAACTAAACATCCATATCATGATTTAATCTAAAGATAGACTTCCTTCTCATTATTTAGCCTCATGTTTCCTATGCTTTTTTCACAGGCACATTTTTTATAAAAACAATAAAAACAATTAAATGAATGAAAAGCAGTGTTTTCTGGCAAATTTGTAAACATATCACAATTGATCAGTAAGTATTCATATTTTTAATTATGAACAAAATTTCCTTTCAGCTTGTTATTTAGCTGCATATATATTTATTCTTTCTCTTTGTTCCATTTGTTTTCTGCAAACATCAAAATGAGCTGTAAGCCTGTGTTAGCGTTGAGAAAGCGAAAGTAGGATTTGTGGTCAAAGTGTTGTTTCTTTTCACAGTAAAAACAAAATATCTGCATATTATATTGTCACATAATGACTTCAAAACATTTAAAAAAAATATTTCTTAATTAACTATAAACACAACCATTGAGGAGTTTTTAATTTACTTGAAAAAAAAGTTGCTTTGGAAATGGGTTGTAGTACCTATATGTTTCCACAGGATGGCAGTAGAAGATTAGTTAATAACATTTTTCATTCACCCAACATCATGTCCTTTTTGTTAAAGAGGTGTTGGAAGACCAACTTCACAGAGGATAAAGTTACTACTCACACTTAGTTACTTTTCCCACAAGATGAAGCTTAATTTATAACATTGAGAAAGCTTTGATTAAATGATTATTCTTTGTATCTGAGTTATATTTGTGTGTCTGTTTTGTACTTCAGCCAAGGTCTGTCTAATGGGCCAAATGCAAACCTGCTCACCATTCCCAAGCAGAGGTCTTCCTCTGTCACCCTCACCTACCATGCAGGTCCCAGGAGAGCCGGTGAGCATAACCACAACATTCAACTAAAGAAATGCTGGTTTATTTATCATGTTGTTTCAGACTCTCATATTGTTTTGTCCTGTACTCCCTGCCTTCTCTTCAGGTACGTCTCCAAGCCTGAGCCCTGTCACCTCACCAATGCACGGTCCTCTTGCAGTGGGCGCAGGTTCTTCATCGTCCCTTGTCATGCGACCACCTGTAGAGTTTCCAGACACGGCTGACTTTCTGACAAAACCAAGTGTCAACCTGAACCTGCACAAGCCTCTGGGCTACACCCTCAGCTCACCTGATTTCCAACAGTCCTTCCGTAGCTCGGCCTTCCCTCTCTGCACCAGGTGAGACCTCTTTTTGTGCTAGCAGTCATAATATTTGAACCATGCACTGCTTTTGGATCTCAAGTGCGATTGGCATGTCTATCTATTCTAGCTGTGGCCGTCAGATGCTAAAGGGGGTTTCCAGTGGTGATACAGGGGACACTTATCAACCTTTCTCCAGTGAGGCTCAACGCAGACGCTCAGGTACAGAATCATTACATTTAGTCAACATTATAAAGACTGATGGTGTTGGTGAAAATTCTTCAAAGGTGCTATAATGTTGGGGTTTGAGGGAGAATCAATTCTATTAACAGTTTTAGGGAGTTAATGCTGCCCTCTGCTGGACTCAAATGATAATACAAGTTGAAGCAAAACAACGTAGACAGTGGTGGACTGAGAATTACACATCTTTTCTCTCGGTTCTATTATATTCTTATTATCAACTTGAAATTTCTAAACTTAAATGTGTTAAAAAAAATGTAACCTTTTACATTGAAAGAAAACAAGTTTTTTTTAGTTAGCATCTGTTGTGACCATGGTAACTGCATTAGTCACTGGGTAGTGGTAATTCTAGTAATTAGAGCCATTTTTAAAAACTTGACTCTTTTTCTGATGAATTTACTTCAAAAGCAGGTAATACAGTTGAAGGACAATGCACTGCCAATCAAGAAATACACTATTTTTATTTCTTCTTTACTTTTTACGCTAGCTGGCGTCCCATTTGCAAATAAAAAAGGTGTGTGTTTGTATGTGTGTGTGTGTCAATATGCTCATTGACATATATTCACTTTTGTCTGAATATTTAGCAGGTGAAGGGGTGGAATTCACAGGAGAGCCTCTGATCAGGGAGGAGAGCGTGGAGGCTGACCTGTCTGTGGATGGGACACCAGACGCTGCAGGGAACCAGGGTCAGGCAAAAGAGGAGCAGGAGAAGAGCCCAAGCAAAGAGCAGCAGACTCAGGAATCAGAGGTCTGCTTCAAATTACAATATGAAAATCTGCTCCCTTCGTTATGCTGGATAACCTTTGATTTTCATTTTCAGAGCATTCTTTTTCCATGGAAACATGATCGGTGCTGCTAATCAACTACTTTTGCATTTCTGATTGTGTCCAGGGTGAGCAGGAGTTCAGACTAGATCCGATGCTGGAGGACCACAAGGTTGTCATGGAGAGGATGAACACGTGGAACTTCCAGATCTTTGACCTGGTGGACAGAACAGGAGGGAAGACAGGAAGGATACTCAGCTATGTAAGAACAACCTCCAACCAACCATCTCCTTTAACTCTGCTAGTATGTGCTTTAATCAGCCAGTCTGTAAGCTCCTGATAATAAGAACAAACTTAAACAAGTCAATATAATGATCATTCCATTGCCTATAAATAAGTGCTCCTTAGTTCAGAAAAAGATTGATGAAGATTGATATGAACAGAAAAATATCCCTGTTGTTAGAATGCAAACAGAAAACAGGCTGAAGTCGTGGACTTGCATTAAAAAACATCAGAGGTCACATTCATGAACAAAATTCATGATGTGTGCACAAAATGGGGCCTTTTTACTGACAGATCCACATCATCATAATCATTCAAACCTGCAGCTTCAATTAATACGTGTGCATGAAGTAAGGCGTTTTCCATAAGTAACTTTCATTATGAGTTAAGTTATCAGAGTAAAAACCAAATATGAAGTCTGCTATACAGTATTTCATCAGCACTGTCTCACTTTTATTCACCGGAGCGCAGAGGACTGTCGACTAACATGATCACTGATGTAGAGGTCCAAAGTAGACTAACACAAAACAATAGCTCCATTAGAGCAAGTCATACATTCCAATGGCGTGCATTGATCAATTGATTTTTAGTTTTAATAAATATTACTGAGCTGTCAGATTCGCAGAGCGCACAGAGAAAAGGCGTTTTTACCCTCTCGTTACTCAGCACATCTTCATTACATTCACGTATTAATTGTGTAAATGAATAAAGTGTGGAAACTAAGTTGGGGCATCTCTCTTCTGATCACTAGGGCTATATATGCTCATAATTACTCACAGTGCAGACAGAGTTTGCCACAATCGAATGTGGCCAACGACTAAAAGTTGTTCATTGATCAAACTTCGGATTAATAAAATGGCAAAGTGAGGGAGACTGCTGACTGACGTGAGCACTCTCACAAAGTTTATTTTCTTCGTCTTACTTCCAGTTGTCGTCGTGATCCAGCGCTGGAAACCTTTGAATGTTTGTATGCGTTTTCATTCATGAGGTGCTTTGCGCTGACCATTTAAGGTTGAATGTGGGCGTGTAGAAGGCAGAATATGGAGGCTAATCCACGTGCGCACATTTCCAGGAGGATCGTGATTTACGAAGGGAAAGTTGCGTGCGAGCGCTGTTTTATGAATCTGAATTATTGTTGGGCGCACGCCATTTCCTGATTTTGGCCCACTGGATTCTACGCACTGTTTTATAAATGAGATCCCAGACGTGTTCATGAAAAGTGTCGAGCAACAGATTTACAGGATTGGATAAAACAGATTGGGTTCATTAAAAAAACAACTTGAACTTTAAATTCAGTTGAGTTTATGTTTTTGACTATATTCAGGAGAATCTGTCCTTTTTCTATAAATCTTTTTTTAAATCACATCTCAGTATTTTAACACAAAGGGACTTCCTTGTTGCAAAATGATGCTCAAGGTCTTTTTGATGTCTGTCTGAATGATCTATTTAGTGTTCATGTTCCATCATGTGAGTGACGACGCTGGTTGCTGTTCTGATTTGTGCTTCATTAAAAGCTGGCTGGTGTTTCCTCAGGTGACATACACGCTTTTCCAGGACACGTGTCTGTTTGAGATTTTCAAGATCCCAGTGAGGGAGTTCATGACATACTTCTGTGCTCTGGAAAATGGCTACAGGGACATTCCCTGTGAGTGTTTTTTTTTTGTCTCATATTATGTATGTGATGTATTTAAAAAAAAAAAAAAATCGTATGGATGAGTTATTGTGTGACTAAAGATAGATGTATCTCATCTCACAAATGATTGTTGGTGTACACAGCAAAATAGACTAATTAAAACCTATTATTGATTTTATACACAGATCATAATCGAGTCCATGCTACTGATGTGCTCCATGCTGTCTGGTACCTGACCACTCGACCAATCCCTGGGTTCCAGCAGATTCATAGTGAGCATGTGACTGGTAGTGATACAGGTGGGATGCTATTCACAAAGTATATTTCTGATTTAGATGACTTCATGTTTGCCTCCTGAGAATCAAATTCTGCATTACTAGAATATCTGAAAGAAAAAAATCTCCCTTCTTACTTGGTAAAAGTGGGTTAAATAATGTTTTAGGCCTGTAAGAACATAATCATTTGAATTGAGGCATACATATTTAATGAGTGTGGGACCAATCATTCTATAAGCATCCTTCATGGTGCAGACATGATTTTCTTTTACCATTGTGATCCTTATTGAAATCCATCGTGTCTTGCTTTTAGACTCGGACAGCGGGATTTCTCCGGGCAGGATATCCTACGCATCCTCCAAAAGCTCATCCATTTCTGATGACAGCTACGGCTGCCTGGCCTGGAACATACCCGCCCTCGAGTTGATGGCCCTTTATGTAGCAGCTGCAATGCACGACTATGACCATCCCGGTCGCACCAATGCCTTTCTAGTAGCCACTAATGCACCTCAGGTAACATGCGGTGTCTAATGCTTTTGACAACTTGTTTAAACTCATAAACACACTCATTTTAGATATTTGATGTTCACTGTTTAGGTTTACAACTGTCAGTGTGAAGAGACAGCTTAAGTAAAAGAAGAGTTAGCCTCACCATGCGTGAGATTATTTTGCACTGTTTCTGTGACCCTGCCAGTCAGGATACATATGCAGTAAGTTGATAACATCAAGAACATGTGTCCCAGGGTTTAGTGTACACATGGCCAATGGCATGATGTCTCTCACATGTGTCAACTTTGCTTTCAACTTTTTCCAAGTTATCTTTTTTTCATGGTTCAGGGTATTGGTTATACGTGGTTTGTAACCTTGCTCTTTCTAGACCAACAGGGAAAGGACAGATATATCATCAATGTTGTTGTTTTTTGCCCCAGAGACAATTATTTTATACAAACACAACATCATACATGTACCGTCTTTCTGAACCTGGAGACACACTGCACACTTAAACAGTGTATGATGACTGCCTAGCTAAACTGCCGGGGCCCACGCTGTAACTGTGTCCACACAGAACGGGTGTCAGCTTTGATCATGGCAATATAATCTATTGTTTCACATTCTTTCATTATACTTTATACTTTTGTGTTTAGCTAAGATGCAATTCTGGATATGAAAGGATATGATCAAATATATTTTACCAAGAACTGCAGGCAGCTAGCTAGAACAATAGTTGTGCTTTCTATTCTCTAGATGTGTAGATAACTGCAGGTCTGCTCTAGCCTTTTAACATATTCACCCAGATGACAAGCAAGATGCTCCATGAGTGACATGTGCTACTCAGGCTTTCAGTGTGGATCTGGTGTTAGTGGTCCCAGGTGGGTGCTGCATATGTGGCCACAAAGACAGAGACACCAGGACCTTTCACCCCTTATAGTTATCAAGAGTTTAACCCACACATACACCCACATAAAAAATAGCTTCATGTGCTGTTTTTTCATTGAGTCTTTACATTTTATTTTGTTTGTTTTAACAAACCTCTGAATGACTCTCCCCCTTCACATTTTATTTGTTCATCTAAAAACAGTTTACTGTCCTCCTGTATTAACACTATCTCACAGAAAGTCTTGATCTGAAGTTTTACTGTTCATCTTTATCTGTCGAGTCAACATTTCCCTTCCATTACTTTTTATTGCATCCCTCAAGCAAAGATATGCTATACATATCTCTTTTCAGAATCATCATCATGAGTCATTTCTAAAGATTATATTTTATATGACAGCTGAAGATAGGCAGAAAATGTGAGGAGAGAGAGTGGACGATGAAAAGCTCTAAATGGTGTCAGGACAGGGAGTCGAAGCTGCGGCCAGAGCAACGAGGACTGTACAGATGTATAAGGGGTGCCTGCGCTACCAACTGAGCTAAACTAGCGACACATAATATGTTATTTCTACCAACTGTCACCTGACCAGTTTCTCCCATGGTCAGTCCCAGAGAGGTGGTGAAAAGGTAAACTACATGCCCCAGTTTAAATATTGTATTTTCACAACATGACCAGTGATAGCACTCACACTGTCTGGGTTTTGTCCTGTTCCCAGGAAAGTGGTTAAAAGAAAGGAGAGGGAACCCTGAACCTATTGATTTCTCATGATGTTGACAACCACCATGTCTGTAAAGTGGATCCTTTCAGCCTTTCTTGGTATCTAATGTGTCCCTGTAACTGCTTTTAACCCTGCTCTCCTTCAGCTATACTAGGTTATGAAAGAAGGGCAACAGGCTCAGCAAATTCCCTCAAGTCATCTTCATTTATAGCTTTGTTGCTTCATTCAAATTTGTATTATGTAAGAAAATGTTGACATTTAAAGGGAAATTTAAAAATATACTCTGATTTCTTTTCTGCACTGTAGGCAGTACTGTACAACGACAGGTCGGTGCTAGAGAACCACCACGCTGCGTCCGCCTGGAGCCTCTACCTGTCCCGGCCGGAGTTTAACTTCCTGGTCAACCTGGACCACGTGGAGTTTAAGCGTTTCCGCTTCCTTGTCATCGAGGCCATACTGGCCACAGACCTCAAGAAGCACTTTGACTTCCTGGCTGAGTTCAATGCTAAGGTCTGAAATGGTGAAATCTTAACAGTTTGCTGAGTTATATCAGAAGAGACCCTAATCTATTTCTTGATCTAAAATAGATGTACTAAGCATAAAGGATGCAGGACAAATCAGTTGACCAGTTGTGTAAAGCATTGAGCTTTGTTTGTTAACAGGTGAATGATGTGAACAGTCCAGGAATTGATTGGACCAATGAGAATGACCGACTGCTGGTGTGCCAAGTCTGTATCAAGCTGGCAGACATCAATGGACCGGCCAAAGTTCGCGACCTGCACCTCAAGTGGACAGAAGGCATCGTCAATGAGTTTTATGAGCAGGTACAGACTGCAGACCGATGCTGCAGAGTGAATTCAATTAACACAAGCCATTTAGATATATCTCTATATTCCATTTAACTTAAGTAAGACTTAAGCAAATAGAAATACCTTATATAAGAGTGTTTCCCCCTTTTTGTACCCCAAAGAACTCCTTTTTGCAAGACAGACAGTCACATAACTGACACGTTTAAATCCTATCCATCCTTCTGACAACCCGTTCTTATCTAAACATCAAGGTTCACATAAAACAAACAAAGAAATATACAAAAATAAAAACAGGAAAGAACACAAAGACTACTGCTGTGTTCATGTAGTTCGAGTCACAGCTCCTTACTAAATATCTGTGTCTGTTTTAAACTATAATCTTGTTTCTATTTTTTAGGGAGATGAGGAAGCTCAGTTGGGATTACCCATCAGCCCCTTCATGGACCGCTCATCCCCACAGCTGGCAAAGCTACAGGAATCCTTCATCACTCATATCGTCGGACCACTTTGTAACTCATACGATGCTGCTGGACTTCTTCCTGGCCACTGGATTAAGGAAGAAGGATCAGATGACGATGACGAGGAGGGGCAGGTGGACTCAGACGACACAGAGGAAGATGAAGATGAGGATGATGAAATGGAAGATGAGCTGGCACCAAGTAAGAGTTTAACAGCTCATCCCTGTAAAGTGTACCATCCAAGTCAACCATTGACTTGATTCCTCTTTTCCAAAATTTAAGCTTATACAAAAATAATGTAGATTATAGCTACTACTAGTAACTGCTGTTTCAGAGCAGCAAAAGAGATCGGTGCACTGCTAGCAGAGAGTGGAATGTCAGTCAAAGTTAAATTATATAATATAAACTGGAAGGAACACAAAAAGTCACGTTTAAAAAAAAAAACAGGGTTTCCTTGATTATTATTGGCTCATGTTAGCTTAGCTTTTCTCTGGATACTCATCTTATGTTTTAAGATTTAGATTAGTTCTTTGTATTGAATCATCCCATACTAAAAACATTGTAATTATGTCACTACCATACAGGACTTCTTGTTATAAGTTATAGCTGTTAGATTATGCTATTATTTAAGTTATTATATAACTTTTTATTGAAAACAAATGTTTATTGTCCTATAATATTAAGGACTGCTTGGTTTAAGCCAATCCACAAGTCTAGCTATTAGAATCTGTATTTGGAAGGAATAAACAGTAACATCACACTTCACATATTATATCTAGACTTTCTGAAACATGCCTTTGTGTTTAATCTATTACAGAAAGGAGGAAGAAGCGCCGCAGGTTGTTCTGCAGCATCATGCAGCACCTGACAGAGAACCACAAGGTGTGGAAGAAGACTATCGAGGAGGAGGAGAAGAGCAGCAAAGAGCTTGGCAAACAGCAGCAGTCGGACAGCCTGCCGGCCAGCCTGCCCACCTCCCCGTCAGACGACATCCAGGTGATCCAGGAGGAGGAGGAGGGAGAGGAGCGGCAGTAGCATATGGACGAAGGAAAGAGCAGAATGAGTGAAAAAGAAGAGGAGAGGCAGTATAAAGACACGTGTCCCTCAACCACCTGCCTTTTGACAACAACAAAACACAGACATTGCATACAGTTGACAAATGCACATAAAATACAGTTTGGTCCCTCTGTCTATCTCTTTCAAAGACACACACACACATATATACACATGAACATTGAAAGATTCACTGTGCAGACACTCAGATGCTTTCGCAGTCACATTGTTTTTTTGGAGAAACAAAAAGGCCTTACTACTGTGAGCGGATCCTTGCTGCATCAGTGGGAGCCCAACTCCTATGCACTTTTACCCCGTGGAGAATCGAGTGCACGCAGTCAAAAAAAAAAAAAAGAAAACGGGAGGAAAAAAGCACCAGAACTGAGAAGATAAGGTGCAGAAGTAGAGTTTGGATGGGGTCCGACAAAATGCCCTCCACGGTGACCTGGCTGTGATGCTGCCTTGAATGCAAAGCGCTTACACCTCCCTTAGGTACAGAAACGATTCTATTTTTAAAAAAAATGAGAGGTAGAGGAAAATGAATGAAGCAAGCAACATGAAGTGATTGATACCCTTTACCAAAGTGAACAGTTCAAACATGGGAAGACAAGAGACTGAGATTGTTTCAGCCTCAATGTCAGGTATATTTTTGGATTATATATACACACATATATATATATATATATGTATATATATATATATATATATATATATATGTATATATCTCAAATGTGCCTGTCTGAACCTTAACTGAGTCTATATAGGCCCAGAGCCTAGGCTTGTGTAGTTCTCTCTCCTTGCTGGTGACACAAAACACTGTATAAGACTCAGTCACAGAGACATTATTGAAATGTTGACTGATAAATAGCATTATATTTGCATCATTTTTGATGCTTTTACTCATGTGTACCACCCATTTTCCTTTCCTTTAACTGCCCTCGCTTCATTTTTATTGAGTGTGTGAATAATTTTGGGGCAGAAATGTGATAGAGAAAATGAGTAGGGAGAAAGAGAGCACATTTTTTTTAATTATTTCCGTGTGTAATTTGTGTGTATGTCTTATGTGTCCTTTCAGTAATGGTTGGCTTCTAATAAGCAAAATTGTCCTCTGGTGTTTAACATGTTTCATTCAGATCAGGAGTGCTGTTCCATTGAATGGAATCTTCATTTTCATTTTTCTTTTTCTAAGTATTTTTTTAAAGGTTACTCAGGATATCACACAGAGTTGAATAATTAATTTTTGCAAGATTTTGTGTCAATATGAAATACACATAAAAAGAAAATTAAAATCTGAGTGACTGAAGCAGTTTGTAATCTCTTGGTGACCAACGTGACTACAAACAAAAATTCAAACAACTGAAATCCTTTGTGACGGAGGATCTTACAGTATGTGTCGTCTCGTGGCCCCTCAGACACTTGTTTGCATAACCTTTTTACAACCTCACTGGAGAAAAGCTTCTATTGATTGTCAGCAGACTGCAAACGTTGCTCCTGCAGCAACTCATTGTACACGTTTGCAGTTCTTTAACAGTATATTAAGTAACTTTTTAACAAACAGTACTTTGGCTACTCTTCTGTGTTTCAGACAGCAGACAAACATGGATTTTTAGACACATTTAAAGCTCACCCGACTTTCTTTTTCCTCTTCTTTTTTTTTTGAATGCCAAACCCATACCTCGGCCAGTTTGTAAAGAAGGGATCCAGGGTTTCATTTCACTTTGGTTTTTGTTTGTATATTATGATGTGCCACAAGGCAGATTCAAAAACTACTACTTCTATTTTTGTCTCCAAAAACTCTTGGCATTCCACTAGAATAAGATGTTTTTTTAAAGGGAAGCAGAGTTGTTGCCTAGCTCCTTAATCACCTTATCAAAAAGAAAATCTGGAGTTATATTTAAAAAAAAAAAATAGATACAGGTGTGCACATTTTAATACCAAACAAGTGTTTAGCCGCTGTACAAAAGAGTATGTGCATATAAATATATATTTTTTAAATAATCAAATGAATGCATCTTTTTTCTACACGCAGCTGACATATTGTACATTGAGATCCTGTAATAACTGTTGTGTTTGCAGAGTTTTTATCTTCTTCTATTTACAGGTGTAGAAATGTGGGGTTTGGTGTTTTCGATTTAAGTTTTCCACTTGGTTTCAGCGTCTCCTTGTTCTGTATCATAACCACTCTTGTATTCTTCATCCTCTATCTCTTTATCACTGTTGTCTCATTCGAACCCAACTAGTGCCAAACTTTACCTACATACAGTGATCTCTGGGCTATGATATGCTGATAGGCTAACTTTTCTCTGGGCTCCAGTACTGTTCATGCAAAGAGAAACACTTTGGGTCAAATACTCCACCAGGCTCAAAGTGGCAGCGACAGTGAAGAGAGTCAGAGCCATGTACATTCTGACAGCTCCATCGTTAGTTTCTCCACGTGGACCCATGCTGGATCATAAAGTCTTGGTAGCTCCCCACCCGACATATTCTGGCTCATTAAGTTGTAGAAGTCTGTTGGCTTGTCACTGTGCTGTCTTTCAAACCACAGTGTTCTCTGATGATTGTGCCATAAATAAATCTATGAATGGTTGTTACCCATATGTAGCATCAATATACGTACATTTGTCTAATGTAACCATTCACCCTTATCTACGTTGTGGGGGAATCTGATTTTTTTTTGTGTTTATTTATAGCTGTCATAAAACACCATTCCTAAAGTATGACAACTTCTCATTGATTTTTATTGGTGTGTCTGTCTTTGAAAAATCGCAATATGGTTATATAACACTGCCTTTTTTTTTTTATCCATGCCAGCCCAAATAAACAGAGGGTAACCTTTTAACTACAAACACAGCTATTGCAAACCTTTAGAAGTGTTTTCACTTCCAAGCCTGATTAGACCTCCTCTGTGTTAAACTATGGATGATTGATACCTCCTTCACTCTGTATGCTGTTGGACTTTTTAGGGGTTGAAATCTTACTCTGATCATTTATATATGGGATGTGGTATGTCCACCTAACCTAACCTCTAAATCATTTTAATGAACAATCATGCCATCTGTTATGTGCCTCTAAACTTTTAATTACAAACCCACTTCTCTCTCCCCCCACACACTTGAACACAACACCTTACAGCTTCCTTCCTGTTTCTTTCCAGCGTCATAACCTGTTCAAAGGTTTATAAATGAAGTTTTAGTGCACCAGTACAGTGACATAATCTGGGATGGTGGTAAATGTAAGATTTCTGTACAATTCATAGTCCGCTTTAATCTGTTAGTAGATACAAAAGACAAGGTGTGTTTACAATATCTTAAGAAATACTTTATGAATACACAAAAAATCATTACAGTACATAATTTTTTCTTTTCTTTAAAAAAAGAAGGACAAACAAACATTAACATCAAACACAAATGTCGTACTTTGTTAGTACTGATAAGCACCATTTAGCGGAAACCAGAGTTGCCAAGTCAGTTTCTAGAAATCCAGGATGGGGTGCATTTGCTTTCCAAGAGATATAGTTTCCATCAAGTGCTATCCCTGGAGAAGGGGTCAGAGTCAGTCCAGGTGACGTAAATCTTGGCCCGTGTCCAACTCCAATACAGAGTGTTCAGAACTTTCTTGGAAAGTCTGTTAGTCCCGTTTCAACCCACCCATACAAGCCCGTGGTGTCATCTGTCTGACCTGAAGCTGTCCTGAGAAGGCAGAGCTATGAACCATCATAGATGTACTTACTATCAATCATTGACATACCTAACCCGTGGCTACCGCCCCAAGGTTCATGGACATTTCATTTTCTGGGCTCAGAGCAACTCTGACAACTAAATCGATAGCATACTCGTGTTCCCAGGGTGCACTTGCAGCACAGTCTTATCACATCTCCTGATGCTTAAAAGTATTGTGCAAAAATGCATATTGCTCAGTAAAGGGATTTGATACCTATTGAATAACAATGTAAAGAGCTACTCTTTTCACTGGAAGTCCTTTGGAGAAACTGTAGCGCACAAGAACTGGACGCTGCAGTCAAGAGTGATACAGTTTCATGCACATGTATCATATGGTTGCATTTCTGTGCAAAATGTTATAATTCTGGCTTGAACAGCTGAACATGCTGAAATAAATTCCTGTTTGCTACTTAGAAAAAGGAGTGTATCCTGAACAGGGACTTTTCTGCTGCCTGCGGATGGCACAGACAGAGTACGGTTTAGGCTGCAGCGTCATGCCAAGTTTGGGAGTGACAGTAGGAACGGTTCCTGGAGGAAACTGGAGATGAAACCTCTGCAACAAAGTGGTGAAAAAGAGGAACATCTCCATCCTGGCAAGCTGTTCACCCAAGCACTGACGCCGCCCTGAAAAAAAGACAGTTCTTTGAATTAGACTCTTACACACACACACACACACACACACACACACACACACACACACACACACACACACAGCCACAACATCTGGCTAAGTCTGAGGATTGTGGGTTCTTAAGATATATATATATATATATAAGAACAATAACTTCTTATAACACAACCCTTAAGGGAACTTGACCAAAATTACATGTAGGAGAGGCAAAGTCATTTATCATATCTATGAAAGTTTTTATTTTAAGCTTAGGTATTTCTTTTATACTGTTACTCCTATGAACAATCAACAGTGTTAAATGCCGTAAAGCAAATGTTGGCCTTAAATATTTTTACATCTTAATCTTCAAAATGTTGGTTGGGAACTTATGCAAGTTTTACATTTTTGTATTTTAACTGAGGGGTTAGCGCTGACAAAAATAAACCAAAACGACTGAATTCAGTTTCCATATTTTAAATTACATTTGTGGGAAAATTGAACGTCACTCGGAGGCACAATAGTTGAAACTGTGATTGCTTTAGAGAATTTGAGAGAAAGATAAAGAGACTAACCTATGGAGAATGGTAAGAAGGCCTCACGCCTCACAAAGTGGCCATTGCTATCCAGGAACCTCTGTGGCAAGAAGACACCTGGATCTGTCCAGTACTTCTCATCAAAGTGCACAGAGTAGAGGTTTGTAATCACCATGGTGCCTTTGGGTATTGTGTATCCATTGACTTTTGCATCCTGAGAGGTTGCACGGAAAATACCCAGCGGTACAATGTTGCAGAAGCGAAGGACCTCATGGAGAACTGCTTCCACGTACGGCATCTTCTGTTTGTCCTCTAAGGTGGGTGCCCTCCCATTGGCCAGCACGCTGTCAATTTCCATATGCACCCTCTCTTTTGAGGAGAAAACAGACACTATTAGAAATGTATTCATGTGTAGGATTACAACATCTTTGCATTTATATAGCAAACTAATGTATATCAACTTTTGTCATGGTCGCATTAGAGGTAGAATGTTTCCACTTAAACTGACCTTGTATGTTGGGGTAAAGGGCCATATAGAGCATGGCCCAGCGCAGAGTGTTAGTCGTGGTCTCCGTGCCAGCTATAATGAGCTCCCCCACTGAATAGATGAGGTTGTCATAGGAGAAAGAGCAACTGGGGTCACCTAAATTCTGCTCCAACTCATCCAAATAGGCATCGACGTAGTGGCGAGGCGCATGCGGCACCCTGCCCTGAGAAAAACCCTTGATGACCTCGAGTAAGAAGTCATACACCTCAGCAGCATTGCGGAACAGCTTCTGGTGCTTCCCAAAAGGCAAATACTCAATCCAAGGGAATGCATTGTAAAGAAGGGCCCAGCCACTAACAGCTAGCTCCACGTTCTCACTGAATATCTCAATCATGTGCTGGAAGTTGCGGTCGTCATAAGTGAAACGCTGTCCAAAAATGATCAGGTTGGTGATGTTCGACACAGCATTGGTCACCAGGTGCTTAGGATTGAAGGGCTTTCCCTTGTGTTCGTCAATGGCATCGACAAAGAACATGCTCTCCTCTGAGATCTTCCTCTCAAACTGTCTCTGGCCACTGCCAAAGTATCGGAAAGAGTTGCAAGCCAGTTTACGGTGTTCTATCCAACCTTTGCCATATTTACAATTGAGAAGTCCTTTGAGGAGAAAGTGAAAAAGGAGTAAAAATTAATTTGTATTTCAACTGTAACTCCATTTTAGACAGTGGTTTTAAAAAAAAAGTGTGAATAGTAATCTTATTACATCATCTTACCGCCCATTTTTGTCATTTTCTTGAACAAAGGCAGAGATGGGCGATCAGCAAACACCTCACTCTGATGGTAAAGGCATTCCCTCACACAGTCATATCCATTTAATACCACAGTCAAGATGCCTCCAAGGTCTATACTGAAAATCTGAAAGATACAGAACACAACATGAGCCCTGCTCCGCTTCTGAACATTTTCTTTGCAATTTAAAACCTGTCAAAGAATATGAAGATGTGCAACCAAATGGCAACATTTTTCTTGTGATGCCTGTTTTTAGGCAGAAAACTAAAGATGAGGTCAGCTTCCCTGATATTTCACAGTACACTGAGTGGATGAACCCACACACTGACCCTTTGTAAGATGAACTTTCCATCTAAAGAGATATCTAGCTCTGCTCCTAAATTGGGTTAAACTTTTTTTTTAATGACTTAAATGCTTTGCCACACAAAATGGTGTGCGCTCTTCAGTGTGTTTTTAACACACTTACATTTTGTTAAGCCACACAATTGTTCAAGTTTTCTACTCCAAGCAAATCCTTCACACCGCCAAATGCTAGGGCGAGTCTCTTTTGTTCGTTTCATAACTTTTTCCAGTGTGTGTGTGTGTGTGTGTGTGTGTGTGTGTGTGTGTGTGTGTGTGTGTGTGCGCGTCCATGTGTGTGTAGTGAGAGTCTAACTCTTTGGCGCACGGTGATGCCTGGCATCACACAGTCTGCGGAGCACTCGCTTAGAAAAAGAATTGCAGTCATAAAGAGACTACCGCTTTTTGGCTGCGTGTGAGTTACTGTACCTGTCCATGAACTTCACTCTGCTTCTTGAGGAAGACGTGCGGCTCGGTGGCTAGAGACATAATGTTTCCTATCACAGGGATGGGTGATGGACCAGGAGGAAAGCCCGGGGGTCTTCTTTGCTTGACGAGTTGGCGAACCAGCAGGAAGGCGAGGATGGCGACAGTCAAGCAGACCACACCGAGCAGAGCCTGCACGCATGACACCGGCATTAGAGACGGAGCTTTAATAGAAACCATCTTTTCAAACCCCGGTTCTTCGCTGCTGGACTAGCCCTGCTGACTTCGGCTTCTCCTCAGAGTAACTGAAGCACATATGTATCATCTTGCACATTTCTATCCCCCGCCTCTAAGGCGAAGATTGGCCAGAAAGTCAGAGTCAGCTGTTGGTGAACTTTGTTCTGCTCTTGATCAATAATCCGGATCATTTAGTAAAATATTGGATTAGGATTTCCGCTGCTTTTGTTCCACATAGGGTGCAATAAAGCATTTAAAAATCTTTAGTTAATCAAAAGTTGTAAAATGCTATCTGGTTTAAGTTTACTTTAAAATATCGATTTGCTTTAACAAACCATCAGACCAGCACTTTTATGCATGAATAACACTTGCACAGAAAGTGTTTAACATCAATCATTCAATTATGTAATTATAAATAAGCAAATTAGAGTATGGGAGACTGGGGTCAACTGAACCAATAGCCCCCTGAACAATTAATTGTTTTGAGACTTTTTGAAACTTTTCAGTCAGAATAACTACCAGATTGGAGGGTTATTTCCTAATAAGAAGGGAGCCATTGCAGGAAATATAAAAAGTGGTAGAAATAAATATATTTAAGCAGAAGTGTTAATCAAGCCAACTCTTTATCTAAAAGTTGCACATATTACTTATGAAGCTGGCTTTAGTGCAAATGGATGGACTGTCAACAATGTTTCTGGATAAAGGTGCTTAAATACTGTTCATATAGGCAACTCAGATTCATGGCTACATGCCATTTAATCTAATTTAATGTATTGCATAAGCCTTTACGTTGGAGCTCAACAAGTATTTCTAGGAAGCAGATCAAGGCTAAATGAAATTTAAGTTGACATGCACAATGCATATACCAGAACTATATTAGTTTAGAATTCAGGGAATGGAGGACAGATTGAAATATATAGGAAAAAGAGGAATAACACAACGGCTACGGCTTCTGAGAAGGTCAGCAAAGTCATTAAGTTACAGACTTTCAGTAGCCTGAGAGCCAGACACATCTGGGAGCAAAGGTTGTATTCGCTCTGGATTCGATCTGGATTCCTTCTGGTTCAAACAGATTTTAATTCCACCCAATTTTCTTCGGGCTAATCACAATAGTGAAATCATATGGAGCAGAATTCATGGAGTGATGAACAGTTAAAGGGGTACAACACAATGCAGACATTTTGTAAACAATCAAGATAGCTGACAATGGTCTGAATATGCTTGTATAATAGTATTTAATAAACTGGGTGGTGGTTCACCAGTTTGAGTAAAACTGTTTAGTTGTCGCCACGATATCAAGTCAAGCCAAATGCCTCTTTTATATGTCGAACTATAAGCTACAAAAATGTGACTTTGGGACCAACTTCCCTGCCAAGTACCCTACTGCTATGTCTATGTTTAATTTCCCTAATTGGTTCTAGCAACCAGTGGCAACACCTCTTGAAGATATATAAGAAACATTACAGAACCATTCACATTTGTAATTTGGTGTGGCAATGCCCAACTAGCCATTTGGGCTGCCGAGCCAAGAGCAGCATGCTAGCTAACTTTCCCCATGCAATGTAAAAAACTGAACTCTTAACGGCTTTAATCATTTTATTGTAATGCAAAAATGATAAATAAGTCAATTTGTGTTGACTGTGTTCCACATGTGTACTGGCCAAAGTAACTATTGTGTTGCCTGAGTTTGCTGAGTTGTCAAATTGTATTGACTGTTATGATATTAGCAACCATTATGATCATTCTGATATTACTCTGTGTACATGAAGTAACAACCTTGCTTACAGACTTAGTTGTTACATGTTATAGTAAGCTAAAGATAAGACAAGTAAACAAACAAATACAAAAGGGGGGAGGAAAATCAAATCAGTTCATTGATTTAATAGGGACCTGAGAGATGAAAGAGCAAGATGCTCTGGGAAGATACAGAGTTCTGAAGACGCATGCATACATGCAATATGACATGAATGCTAACAGATAGAGATATATGGAGACAAGCGCTTGGTGCAACAGTCGCTGCCAGTCTGAGCCTTTGGCAGCATGACCCAGAACTTTCACCAAATATGTGTGTATCGCATGTCCGCTCTGGTCGGTTACGGCTCCATGCACCCTCTTCCGTCAACACCCACAGGCAGCATTTGCTCGGAGAGCACAGCCAGACAGCTGGAGTGCCGAGACAAAGGAATTCCCGCGTTCATTTTACAGATTCACTTGCGACAGCGTGAGATAACACAATGTATGTGATTTGTGTCATTGTTTTGAACAGTCAAAACGGAGTGTTATATTCTGAAAATGAACTGGATGATTTAATGTCGTTTCAGTGTCTGACCTCTTGCCCTCTCGGTCGTTGTTGTTGTAAATTGATGCACCATGCGTCAAAAAGAGAAGCCCTGCATATCTGCTACGGAGCTGAGACGGAGCTGAGCGAAGCTAGTGGAAGCACACACATTGAATAAAGTAAAAACCTATTAATTCTGCTGCCGTTACTGAGCGGAGACAGAGCAAACATGAATCTGGTGGAATTTAGACTTAACTTGGAGCTAGTCCAAGGCAAGCCTTCAAACTACAAGCTTTGTCACAAAGGAAAGTTTTAAGCCTACTCTTAAAGCTCCAGTGGCATGCTGTTGATCACTTCTTCTGACACCTACCCTACAGCTGCAGTTTCAGGCATTTATAATCACAATAAAAAAAATCTGTGTTCCCTCTGATGGTCTTATTTTGCTTTGCAGACCTTTAAGGAGGAGCTATAAATCCTCACAGCAGCTTTAAAATATGAGAGGGTGTCTGCCTCCCTGATCCTTACTGCTTACGGCTTGAAAAAGACAGTGACTTCAGCGAACTGGCGTGGATGTTAGACAGCATGTGATCCCAGTATCATGTAATCGTTGACTCCACCCACAATACTACTGCAGGAAAGGACTGTCAGCATACTGCACATGAAGTGTTTAAGGAGCTACTCATCATGTTGCCGCTTGCTGTGAAGGTAGATATACAAAGAAGCCATCACTGGGATCCCAAAGGTTCCAAAAATATGATTTTACTGAAAGAAACTTATCAGAAAAATGATGCTTTCAGATCATTTAATTCTATTGCTTTGACAATTTCAAATTAATGTACTAACTGGCATCTGACTACACTGGAAAACAAACTGAACATGCACATTGCAAAGTTATGTTCGGTGAGTAAAAAAGTCTAAAATCTGTGAAGGATCATTGACAAAAACATTTTGAAATGTACGTTTTGTATAGTACTTACTTCTATTAAACAATGTAGTTGTTTTGTCATGCCTACGTTTTTCTTACTTTTACATTATTAACATCATGTTTCATTAAATGTCTAATTTATACACACTGGAGAAGAAAGGGAAGGTCTGCACACTGTTCAGCTCCCAATCAGCCACTTTATTAAGGGCAACTTTTTGATCCAAAGGATCTTCTTGAAGAATCTTCTGCAGTTTATACTTTTTGTCCTGCACCTGTATGCAAGTTGATTGGATGTACTCACACAAGTCTTTTTTCTAAAACACATAACTACTGTTAGAAAATGTACTAATGGCCATTTTGTATAATAGATCAGAAGTCATTACTGCATTTTATGGACAGAAATCTTTAAAAAGTATGCGTCAATCCCCAAATAAATCCTGAAAGTAGTTACCTAGTTAAAAAGCCCTGGTAAAGAATGTTTGTGTGTTACTCCTGCAAATAAACTTTGCCCTACTAAGTTGGTGCAGGTTCCTTCACCTCAACATGTTAAAGGTTAGGTCATGCACGATAGTCAGAGGTTAAAGGTTGCGGTGCGCACCACATTCCAGACCTGCAAAGTTGGGTGATATTTTTCAAGCTTGTAACCAAAAAAACCTGAACTGGTCCACACAGTGCAAGATTGTGGATATTTAATGAACACATAAGACCTTGGACTGGGAAATGGTGGAAATCCAAAAACACACTTTACACACTATTTATAGACTATTTGCACTTTAGTCATATTTATTTCCTGATTCATTTATTTCCTAAATTTTTTTCTGCATGGTAGACAGAACTGGAGAAAAGAAAAGCTTGCAGAAGGTAATCAAGGTTATTAATATGATCTCATCAAAGGGATTTTAAACCATAAACAATTAGCACTTTTGTAAAGCCTTGCTCTCCACTCTGCTGTGTGATCAGTTCATCATGACTCACTCCTCATTAGACGTAACGTTGTTTAGTCAGCCGGTCCTTCCTGCTGAGGCAGCTGGTAAGCATTTTTTTCTCAGATGCCTTGAATGGCCTTTACAGACCTCTCCCAATAGTTCAGATTTGTCAGGACTACCTCATGAGGACTTTCTTGCAAATTACTTATTCGCTTCCAGCCAGATCCCAGACTCAAAACGTTTTCTGGAATCACTTAACACATCAGTCAGCTGGAATCAAACAAACATGTTCTCACTGCTGTATCGTCTGGCTGGGTTCATCAAAATGCCAGCAACACCAGTGTCCAGGTGCTTATTGGGGACCATATTTTGTAATTGCATAGACTCAGGAAAACTTACCCAGAGTGATTTAAAGCGTTTTAAATGTGCTATATCAATACAGTTGTTATCATTATTATTTGTTAAAATATTTGATACCATCATAATTACAATTACTGGGAAATTTAAAGGAAGAGTGAAACTTTTTTAATTCTACAACTGAGAAAGCTGTGCAATGCTACAGGATGTACAGTTGTTAAATGAGAGTGAAAAGGTAGTAAATGTTAAAATATAAAAACTAACCACAAAAGGGATATCATTTGGAAATTGTAGGTGTTAAAACAGCGTTGTGATGGAATTAGCTGTTTGTTGAGGGTATAATTATTCTAAGATTTGGTCTGGTGTGCAAAGTAATTAATCTTATCTGGAAATATTTAAATTGTCATGTGAATGACATCTTTGAATTGGGTTCATATGTCCTGGGGTGGGACACTGTAATATGGTTTTACATCTTTTTTTAAATGTCACAAAGTTTATAAATCAAGTTACGGTTAAAAGTCAAACTGAACAGTTTTATTTCCATTTAGTTCTGAAAAAAGCTTTCCATAGATAAAAATTAAACCCTTGCAATGGGACCATAAAGTGGGGCAGCTGATTCACAGCATCAAAAAGGAACCAGGTGAATTGGTTAGGAGTTTTTTTTCATGTCCAGCTGGTGTTCAGAACTAGGATAGACTCGAAACATGTGCAACAGATTCATCTGGGTTGGGAACGCTTAAGGATACCAGAGGAACAGCTGGAAAGACCAAAGCTGGGTAAAGAGAAGTCTTCTCCTTATGTTTGACTCCTTTACTTCTTTGTAAAAGTGTATAGGGTATATACAGAGTATCTTTGCTTAGCCCTGCTGCCACTGCTTTTGCTCAAGATAAGCTAAAGAAAATGGGTGAAAAAAAACAATGTTGACTTTTGGCGCTCAACTTATACTTGGGCATGAAAAAAGGCTTTAAAGGCCTCAGCTTCCCATCTATCATTAAGGGCCATCTCTTCTTTTGGATTTTTCTTGCAAATCCCTTTAATTGTCAACAGATGAATCACCAGGGTAAAATTAACTTCTTCAGCAAAGGATGGGTTGGTAGAAGGAAGATGTTTAATAATGATTTATTTGTATTTACTTTTTTGCAACATTGTCCAGAAAGGCCTCATACCACCAAAATACTATACCTGTAACACTAAAATTATAGAAACAATAGATATAAACCTATAAATGGCATAGTGCTTTATACATTCTTTTGCATGATTGGCCAACACTATCCTAGGTGATCAATGTAAATGCTTTCATGCAGCTATGGCATACATGGTAGATCAGCATCAGTCTTAACATTAAGAGCTCATTTGAACAGTGTTCTTCCTGTTGTGCTATAATGTGGACTATGTGCATGTTTGATTGAGTGGGTCCCTTGACTACTGTCGTTCTACAGTAAATTATTTACCATCCGGATGACTGGAATTATAATGTGTACGGGAAATGTAATTATCGACCTTCCCTGGAAATACTAATGCTGTCCAGAACTTTTTTTGCAAACAACATAATGGCTTTTGCAGGAAGATCAAGAGGTCTTGTAATCCTTCTGCATCCATTGGCCAGGTGTTTAAATGTTAGCTTAGGATGGTCACCTTTCTAATGGAGAGCAGCAAGTGTAAGTCCTTTTGCTAATGGATACTTGACCTCATGCTGATAACTCCAGGAGCCTCATTTGTTAAATGGTGTTCTTTTTGAGTCGTAAGACACATTTGTTTTAGTTACTTCATGTTCATACAGTAGGTTAACTACACAATACAGCATTTCTGTTTGTATTCTCCACTACCCATGGCTGCCAGCTGTATTTTATTGTGTTGGTGAAGTTAAAGATAATTTCCCACTTTCCAAGTTTACTTAAAATAAATGTTGCCTCTTTCCACATTGTACAGAGGCTATATTCCTCTTTGCAGCTCTGTGCGTTACAATCCGACCTCAGCCTTTGGCTGCATGTCGTCCCCCACTCTCTCCTCCTAGCACTTGTGCACTACAGTTTAAACCTTCAAAATATGTTTGTGGGTGGGGGATCTTTAACTGTAAGAATGGAAATTTCTAGATGATCTGTGAGCGAAAGACAATGATTTCAAACTTTCAAACTTAGTTTGTGGGTACACTGTATCTTTCCAACACGATTGGACGATTGTAAAATCTGTGTTTCTCACTGTCATGCTCGCAAGTGAATTCCTGTTGAATTGTGTCAAATCTCTGTTTCATGGCTGTAAATGAATCTGCTTTAGTTGAGGTGAGTTGAGTGGCCATGCTAAAGTGTTCATGCAGAACAGGTAGCACAAATCTAATTTTGTACTTTTTTTTTGCTTGAAACTAAGTAGTAGTAGAAGTATCGTTCTGCTTCTTTCCCCATACTCACACACCAAATTTCACACAAAAAGGAGGCCTTTATTCTGAAATAGAAAATTCTCTTTATATAAGTCCTGCTCACCTTATAATTTTGTATAATGTCAAAAACATATTTAAGGTTCCCCTCTGAAAGTGCTAATGGCCTCAAACACAACCCTGGAGAATGAAAATCATACAAAGGACAGATGTACACTAATGTTGCTTTGCTCTTAAACACCAAATGCTTTTGTGTTATAACTTTAAAACAACCCCACTGTGAGATCATTCCAGCTGATGTTCAATTCATGCTGCTAAATTAAATAAAGTAAGGTGGCGATATGGGACAGCTTTGAAGGAAATTCTCTTTGGGGGTTTTTGAGTTTCTGCCAAGAAAGGCCCTGCTTCTGTTTGGGTGAAGAAACATTCACACTGACTCAGCTGAGGCTGTCATTGATGAGCAATGCAGTGAGCATAACGTTGCCCTCTCCGTCATGAATGCTCTCCTGTGTTGTAATTAATTTTCCAGGCCAATTCATGCCTAACATTAGGGAATGTGAACAGTGTGAGTTAATTGCAATCTTGACAATAAACTTTTCCCCCTTGGAATGCAATGTCTCTGCATCAACTGATGTCCCTGCTCAGAGCATGCAGGGGTGAATTGGGGCTTGGGAGCAATTTGGGTCCAAAAGTGTGGAAGGACCTACTTCTATGCAGACTAGTATGAGATGGATCTTTAATTGCTTATATGGTTCTTGTAATTGAAGGAGAGACATCCAGAGTAAGAAAGATTGTTTACATGAGCTATAGTTTAAATATTGAGAAAATAACTTAATTTGTTCAATTGTAAGCACTTTAATCTCTTCTGATATGTAATATATCGTTTTCTTTCTCTTGACATACAGTATGAGCTCTCCATGGTTGATGTCCAATGAGAAGCTTTTACCTCAAATGTCAAACATACAAACTACATGTTTCTTAGTAAAGTACCCAAGCACCCTCTAAAGTCTTTAGTTCATCAACCTGAGATTTTGTTCAACTAATTCAATTACTGAAGATCTGCTCAACAGCTCTGAAAGGCTCATCCACACTAACGAGTTTACTTCTTACGCACAAACTAACTGGGAGGCTGGATGCTTTATAATACATCATCCAATATTGTTACATAAGGGGTAATTAGAAGATGGCCAGAGACCAACAGCCCAGTAATTAGCTCAGAGCGACCGGATGGACACTACAGAAATCGGAGGTAAGGTTTAGATTATCCACGGGAAGGATTCACTCTGAAGCTCTTCCTTCAGAGCAAAGGCATTATTTTATCCAGCTATTTGTACAGATATGAAAACGATCTGCAAAATGGTCCAAAGATGTCCAGCCCTAATGACAAGTTAGAGACTAAAACTGCAATGACACACTTTTAAACTGCACATTGGATTGGTGCAATGTTACATTGAAACATAAGCAGGTACAGCAGCAGAATACAACTAGAACCATACGATCTCTGCACACGATGCTAAATAGATTTACATGTTCTGTTTTTGGTGGCTTTAGATTTTGTTCAGGGTATTTTAAACAAAAGCCTGTTATTGAATGCTGTTGATTTGAATTATTTTGCACATTTTTTTGAAGTCTCTCTTTGTGGAACAGCTGTTTCCTTTTTAAAGAGAACTTTGCTGTCACTCTGACCCTGTTAACCTTTGCTAGCCGATAATACATCTTTACTGAATAGTTTCAACAAGGGCCTAAATAACCATTTGAGTTCAGTTGTAGCTTCAAGCTCACCTCACTGTCGTGATTGCTAAATGGTAATATATTTTTTCAGTCAATTTGATTAATAGAAGTATACTGCAGAAGTATCAGGGCCCCCTGTCTCTCATTTGCTCTGTTGATCTGATGAATCTTTACTGTTTATTTTAAAGTCCCACAAAAGCTTGTTGAAGGATGGCAGTACTGTAAATTTAGCTTGGAACGGATTCAGTACATTGATGTCATTTGTGTACCGCTTCTTTTATTGGCTTGCTGTTAGTGACGTGGGACTTCTGATTGGCTAACAACTGGATGTAAAATGCTTGACTGGCCAATAGAGGATGATTAAGTTCTCACACAGACACCCATGGGGAACATATATAAAACCCTGCACTGTGGGGAGTGTTCAGCAGATTCACAAGTGAGTCTTACACTAAATTATTCCTTACCAGAGGATCTGAAATCTTGAGGTGAGTTTGGCTAAACATTTTAATTTATTGCTAAGAGTATGTGGTCGGAGTCAAATACAAGATATAAACAATTGTACATTTTTTTTAAGGAGGTGAGGACTGAGTGAACTTGAAACCTCACTGTACTAATAGAAAGTTGTTTCTAACAAGTGGCATTATGGCATTGCATGCACAGGCTGCTCCTGATTCTGCTAATGGACAGAGCTGCTGTTATATTTGCTGGCAATGCTTTAAGTATCCCTATAAGTCTTTGATCAGCCTCTACAAGTTCAGCAGCACTAACAGAGAGGCACAGAGAGGAGCAGGGAAGATAGGGTCCGATAGAAGGAGGATTTATATAGCTGTGAATGCATGCAGTGGAAAAAATAACATGCTTAATTGAGAAATGTTTCTTCCTTGTATCAGATTTGTTCCCCCTTGTTTTCCACAGGAGAGCAGGAAAATGCTAAAACTCTGGACTCTCCTTCTCGCCTATGCACTGATGGTTTGTCAGATGTATGTCTCACAGGCAGCTCCCTCCAGGTAAATGTTGTTGAGGCATTATTTTGAAAAAAAAAAGGAAAAACAAATGCTTCAAAACTATGCCTTGAAACCCTATCCCTGTTAATATTTTGAACTAGTAAGGAGTTGATATCAGATGGAGTCACACTATCCGACGATGATGCACAAAAGCTACTCAGAGCTATGAAGGAGTTCATGCAGATTACCTCAGATGAGCAAGACCAGCAAGCAGCTGATGGAAACAGGTATGGCTTAAGACATTCATTCTAGTATATTTAACCTGAAAATAATAATGTTGAAGTTATTGTACTGTAAAGGGTTGTGCTATCTATCTATCTATCTATCTATCTATCTATCTATCTATCTATCGCATCAACACTTAGACACAATATAACCACATGTTTTTATAAGCCCAAACAGCTCCATCTTTGCTGTTTTGATAGATAATTAAGGTATATATAATGAAGTTAGTTTACTCTCCGTCATAATCTCCATATGCATGGATCAGCAGTTATCCATTCATTCATTCATTCATTCATTCATTTTTTATTTTCATGTTAAAACTGAAGAGAGCATGATATTATAAACACGAAGAACAAGCATGATACATTTTTATAGAAAATTTGGCAGAATATAATAGCACCATAACTGAAGAACACGTTTTTGGTGAATGAGATGTCTTCATATGCCTGTTTGATCTGCTAGCATGCGTTTGAATTGGATTCTTATCACAGCTTTTCTGTAAACACATGACAATTCAGAGAAACAACATGCACGTCATTTATAATATTCATCTGCATGCCACAGTTACTGTAAGCCTGTTTCTGCATGTTTGTCTCTGTCTCTAACAGCCTGGATAGACCCGTGTCTAAGCGCTGCACTGGCTTAAGCACATGTGTGCTGGGCAAACTCTCCCAGGATATTCACAAACTACAAACCTATCCCCGCACAGATGTGGGAGCAGGGACGCCTGGCAAGAAGCGAAGTTTATCCGAGCTATATGAACAACTCAAACAACTGAATCCCTGAGTTTTCAGCCCATCTATTCTTCTTTCTGTCTGTGTGAACTTTTGCTTGTTCATCCAGCTCTATTCATTCACAAGAATGCTGATGCATTAGGATCCTGCATTATTTTCCTCTGGCAGGCAGTAGATTTATGACAGACTTAAAAAACTTTGGATCAACCACAAAAGCTGCGTTTCTCTGGCAACTTTCTTAATTATAATAAAACATAGGAACAGCTAAAAACCTTTCTGATATTGACTTGTCTCATCAATGTAATAATGTGCCTCTTATAATAAATGAATATTTTACAATTGAGCTGTAATTAATCCTTTCAAGATTGACAACAGATAAAAATCACTGACTATGCAAATGAAAGGAGAAAGGGGTAAGCATGGCCGTAAATGTCTATACACATACAATGAATGGAATTTTACCCTCCACATATCTCCATTATGTTCCATATGCTCTTTAAATTCTAATGTCTGATCTGATCTTTAGTATCATATAAAAATGTGTTTATTATGTTTCTTACAAGTAATGCAACAGTGCAGAAGCGGGCATGCAACACAGCCACCTGTGTAACCCACCGATTGGCTGACTTCCTTAGTCGGTCAGGAGGGCTTGGACACGCCAACTTCGTTCCCACCAACGTAGGAGCTCAGGCGTTTGGCAGAAGAAAGCGGCGGGGCCCTGTGTGAGAACAAGAGATCAAATGTATGTTATTACTGGAAACGTATGCATCACAACATCATTCTTTTCTTCTTTTTTTTTAACCAATGTGAGAGTTACAGTTAACAGACAGGCTTCTTGAATGAATTTAAACTTCAACAGTTTCAGCATGAAAATAGACAAAATTATGTGATGTTTTGTTCATTTGATACACAATTAATGGTATGGAAAGGTATGAACCACATTCTGATAAAACTTGATTTGCCTACAGGCACAAATAGGAAGCTTTACTGACTGCATCAACTGTCCTCTCTTTGGCTCTCCAGGTCAAGTGCCTCATTCCCGTGAGAAACTGCATCATCATCAATCACTTGGAAACAGCATTCATTCTTCAGAAACATGGACTGATCTCTCACTTTCAGATGACCACAAGAATATTGTCTGTATTCAAATGTTAGTCTGTGCTTTGATATAGAGACATAGCTCTTATTGGTGTTATTGTCACCCTGGAAAAGTATTTGAGACGAGAATTTCCTTTACTAAGAGGGATAGATAGCTTTCTCTGTGTTGGCCTGATCCTAAACTGTACTTCTGACCTGTATCTGCAGTGCAGTGTGTAGAACTGGAAGCCATACTGTACATCTGCACTGACAACAAACCGTTCAACAACTGTGGCTGTCTTGTTTCTTGCTGTTAAGCACATCATTACATTTCACTGCAGTGCAAAATGCAAGTGTGAAAATGTACTAATGATTCTTCATATTGTAAAAATTGTGAACTGTTAGCAGAATAAATTGTATTTTAGCTACAAGAAGTGTTTCTGCCTCACTGTATTTTTGTTTGATTGGATGATATAAACTATAAGCCATAGTAAGCACTCAAATGCATTCTTCCTCTATTTAAAATCAGGGCACATAATGGTGAATGACACACAAAGTATAGGGTTGGAAAATCAAACCATGTTCACAGTATTGTTTTCAGGTGAAAGTTAAGGACACAATACATTTGCCTTTCATACTTAATTGGACCTCCTCCAAACTTGATGAAATATTTCTTAGTAATACACTAATAAACTGGTAATTTATGACTTTTGGGAAACAATAGACATTTTATACTAGCAAATGTATGTTTGAATGAGGGGCTGTATAGTTTTGGAATGCGCATTAAACAATTAACAAAGGGGTGAACTAACCAAGTAGATACATATTTAGCTTGGAATATGGACAGCCAATTCTAGACGGACAATAAGGCTGATGATAACAATAATAGACAATAAACAATAAAATTAATAATTTAATGTAAAAATTGTTATTCTTATCTTATGAGATTTTAAATACAACTATAACTTCAAAAATATTTTTTTGGGCAAATTAGTCACCCCCTGCTAAGTGCTACGGCTAGCTCTTTAACTCAGTAGAATGCCAAATGGGGCAGCAAATAGATTTAACTGACTAGAGTAGATCCTATAGTATGTAACCTACTAATTCAAAAATAGATTTAGAGTCCATGGATCCATGAATACATTCTGAATCAAATTGTGACTCCAAGAAACAAAATTGAATGGAATTCTGAGACACCCAAAGATTCCCAGCCCAAAAGATTTTGGGATGATGTTGTCAGATTAACAATGAACAGAAAATATGCTTTCTTCTTCCTTGTTAAAACATAAGGTCTTTTATTTCAGACAATTCAATCCAATAAAAATCCTTAAATAGTACAGAGTTTAGATTTTTATTGCAATAGCAGCTAATGTAATCTCAGAATGCAGTTCGAGATAATATATAAACCTCTCCCAATCTCAGTTTTAAGAGGGCTACAGAAGTCTGGAAAACTCTGAAAAAACACACATAGGGTGAATTAGCCAAATGTGGGACACTGCCTAATGTGGGACACCTAAGCTCAAGTGGGTGTAGGTCTTCCTACAACAAATGAAAGTCAATAAAACTAAGGGTTAACACAAGTTGTGATGTCATGTGATCAAAATAACATGACTTCTCAAATGTCCAATCATAGATTAGAATGATACAAGCTTCAAAAAGGAAGTACACAGCATGAAGACCACCCAAAGGTCAGAGACATACTGTTTAGGCAAACTTAATGTTAAGGATATACATTTCTTAAAAATAAAATAATCCTACTTTTTTTTATCTGGATGTTTTTATGATATGCTTGTTCATCAAAAAATATTATATTATGTTGTAAATAAACTCTATATTTGTTATTTTAAATTAAAATTTCCTTTGTGACTTGCTTAATGTGGGACAGTTTTTTTACATTCAAATATGCCTGTTATGATTGTATGCGTTTCCTGTTTAGTGGAGCTACCCCCCATTTGTTGACTTATTGGTCGTTTTTTCCATGGTGAATGATAGAAACCTTAGTACATCTCTGGTAAAGATATGATTAAATAAGTTATGTTACATATTTCTCTGTGGAAAAACACAGTTTTAAAGATTTGTCGATCAATTAATCAATTAGTCAACAGAATAGTATTGGTGTTAATTGGCTAAGAATTTCTTTTGTTCAGGACAGACGTATGGATAGAAAACATTTTAACATTTTAACATTGTAACATTGCATTTCTTTAAATAAATGAATTCATAACATGTTCATTACATTCTGCTTTCTCTGCATGTCAGATATGATGATATAATAGCCTATTGTCTTTCTACAAAATGCATCAAAACTATTATTGTCCTTTTCTACTGTTTTGTAACACCACTAACATTGTAATTGGTAAAATTACAGAATATAGTATTGCACATTTTAGATTTGAGTGTGACAGTTTTTATGCCTGAATTCAGGTGATTCAGGCCTTTTAACATAGAGTTTTCAGTGTCCCACATTTAGAACAGCACTGTCCCACATTCGGAAATGCAGATTGTCCGAGACAATTTGGCACTAAGACTACTGATATGTCTACTATTTCTTTAATGAGTATGATAACTGGATTTTTTTTTTGTTGGTTTGATTAGGGGACATTCTGGGGATTTCAGAGTGGTACTGTGTTTGGATTTAATGTAAAGCTTCATGTTGCAATACATCCCAGAAGTCTAAAATGCAAAAATTGTCCCACATTAGGCTAATTCACCCTATGAACTGTTACATTAATCTTCTAGTCCAAACTTCAGCTGTCCCTCCCTCAAATGATGTCACTTAAGGCATTTTGTCAGTCCTCACCATCACCTGGCTGCCCTCACACAGCTCTCTCTGGTGTATTTTTAATTATTCAACATTTGTTTAATCTAAAGAAGTCACTCACTTTTCGATAACGAAGTAAAAGTAGGCTGACAAGAGGAAATAAAAAGCTGGTAGAGAACAGAAATTGTTGAAATTTCCCTTTAACCCTTTTGAAAGCCGGGTAAGAGAGGGGGCGGGACTACATCTCATCTTTCGCGCGAATTTACAAAGGTAATTGACGTGACTGTACCTGTAAAGCTTCTGAACGTAGAGGATACGAAGAAGAACTTTGTTTTTAAAACATTTTAGAATAAATGTCAAGAGTGTCGTGAAAAGCAATGAATTATCAACATGACCAACTCAACCAACACCTAAGCACCTTAAGTCCGAAGAGCGTTAGCATTACGCCAGTTTTGGACAGCTAAAGGGTTGGATATATATAAAAAATAAACTTGCTGTGTATTCCAAAGGCGGAACCTATTCATGGATATGAGATTTGCTTGTTCTATTAAAACTATGGCGCACTTTGCGGTCATGTCGACGTCTATAAAGGATACTGCCGAGGAGACAACAAGGTGTTCATTTAAACAGAGCCAAAGACTTCATCCGACCCAAGGAAGTTACTTTACCTGTGAGTAAGTGGACCTGTCTTTTTGTGTCTTTGTGTAGCCTAGTCTGACCTTTTTCTGATAAACAAGGAGTATTCATTGGAACCAATTGTTATAGGCACATAACAACCCTCTTGAGTATCATCACTTTCCTCTTTCCTCTGGAGTTCTTGTGTAACAGACCCTAAACTTCATGGCTGCTTGTCTTCTTTAATTGACTTTCTTTTTCTACCAGATGTTTGAATTCTCCATTCTCTTGTGTCTACAGGGAGAATATGTTCGGAACTTGGCATATTGCTGGCAAGGAGTTATTATTACACTCAAAAACACAGTGCTGTATTTATTGTCACTATGTACAAAGTTGGTCTCTTGTTTGTTTTTTAACTACAGATGCTGTAATCAGATGGTGATCAAAACACAGAGAAATTGTAAGAATGGTTGAAGAAGTACAAATAGTTGGTATAAACCGGGTAGGTCTATTGTATTTATTGTCTGTTTAAAGCTGGCAGTCATCAAACATGTCTTAGAAAAGACCACTAATTTTGGCTATAAGTCACATTTGGACAGTATGTTTACTGACAACTTCTTATTTGCCATTGCACAAAAGTCTTGTATGATAAAATGAAATGGTACAGATAAGTGCTTTCACTGGCTGAAGTTGTTCCTATGTATCAAAATAATCTTTAACTTGCTCAGTAACACAGTTCACAATACTCTTAGCATTGCTTTATATCCGAGCAATTCACTGCTTTAGTTTACTTCAGCAGTAAAATAAAGCTCCGAGGCTGATAGTTGGATTAAAGGATTTAAAAATAAATCTGATTCATTAAATGATTCAGCTGTAGTAAAAGGCCCAGTCCCTTATTTTGCTTAATTCAATTCTAGATGTCAGACACTAGTCATGTATCTCTTAAGGAAACTGCTAATCATATTACTTTTTAAAGCTTATTAATGAATAAAAATGACTTCTCCCCATTTTACGATTTACCTATAAAGTTAAATATTTAGCTGAAAGCAATCCTCTTGGTCAGTGGACTACACACAACTTGGTAAACATGAGCAAACAGGAATTTGTTCTCAAATACATCTTGAAGGCTTAACAAATATACTGACTTTTGACTACAGTAGATGAAACAACTAATTACAATTTCTACTGATCCCTCTGCTTGGCAGAAAGTAAATAGCAAAACTAACTAAATAAAATAAATCAAAAACTATTCACTAGACCGACCAAATGCTTTAAACTTACCATACTCCACACCTTATGTAGTATTACATAGGTTATACATACTGGAAAAGCAATCTTGATAGTGGCTGTGGTGGTTGAAACATGCTCAGGAGAAGGGTATGTTTAAAATGTGCTACTCTCTCCCCTGAGTGTTGCTCAACAATACATATCTTTGTTGATTAGACAAGGGGAGAATGGGTTTTTTTTCCTGGATGTGAGCAGCCATGTGCAAACACCAAAACAGAACTAATGACGGAGATGAGGGTTGGAGTTAGAGTGAGTTCAGAGTCTCAGAGGAGCTGTTCAAGATGCCAGAACGTCTGGGTGTCTGGGGAATAGCAGCTGTCATTTTCACGTTGTAACCATCGGGATGAAAAACTGTGAGTCTGTTGTAGTTGTAATATCTTACTTTTCTTGTTCAGCAATGGTCACAGACTTTTCAATACATAAGAGTTCTTACAACTAAGCAATGCAACACCAGAGTAGGGCATACTTTTTGTGGACTGCAGTGAGCTAAATTATCATTCCTTTGTATTAGATTAAGCATCATCTCCCCCAAAAAGTTTAAAAACTACAGAAGCACAGGTTTATAGGTTGTAACTGCATCAAAGCTATTTTTCACATTGAGCCAGCCAATTTAATTATTAAATCAGCATTAATGTGGATATGTTTATTTAGTCTCTATTCTATTTTTTGCTTTCTTAATATGTGTTTCAAGTATTGATTACAAAGTTAAGATTTTAATTGTTTGATATTTATCTCTCTCTGCCACATTGCTTTATGTTTATTTTTGTAAAGTGG